TGGAGATAACTAATTATTCATATGCTAGTTACTTAGATAAGCCTTATTGGGAGGTCTCTAGATCCTCATTCATGTGATGCCGTATCATTGAGTTTTCTGTAGATTTGCACTCAGTGTACTCTAATGAACCACAACACATCCTCCTTTGTCATCACTCATGGTTAAAAATCCCTGCTACCTGCTTGGCACTGCAGCAGAAATTAACTATCATGTAGGGCCCGTGGCCTACATGTGAGAGTATTTCCTCCTGTTCTCTTCAAAACTCCCTCCTGCCATGAAATGTTCCTTAAAGTGGACCAATTACATTCCTTAACTTTCATTATAAACTTGTATTCAACTTCCTTATGGTTGTCTTCTGGAAAGCTGAAACATCATGACAAGCCAACCTAACAAAAGGTTATATATATATATATATATATATATATATATATATATTTTTTTTTTTTTTTCAAAATATATTCAGAGTGTATATTTTTAATAATTCAGATAAAAAATGTTTTGGATATGCTGTCTCATGTTTGCTCTTTCCGTTCCACATATATGTATTTTCCTGCATTTATACACAATAATTGTAATCCTTATGAGCTTTTTTTTTTTTGTAGGCTAAAAATCAAGCTTGTTTTAGTCCCCTGTCACACAGAAAGCTCTCCAGATTAATTCCCACCAATCTTTAACTCCCTGCTTAATTGTGTATTTCATCAAAACATGAGGCTAGCATTGTATCATGTGGTATGCCCAACACATGGCCACCATGTATTGGTGGACTGTATTCTTTTATGAGTTTTTGTATCTAGAGAGTACAAACTTTCTCCAAAAGCCCTTAATGTGTAATTTGCATATTGTGCTGTTATTGGCACCGTGTCTCTGAGGTCTCACTCTTTTTCTCCAGGCTTTGAGGGATGCACCTCTTCCTATGTAGCATCATAATCTTTGTTTTAACCGTGTTTTTCAATCCAGTTTCTCTGGCAACTTTTAAGTGTTCTCCTGCTCTTTGTGATGAAATCATTAATACTAATTGCCTGCTTTTGACAGGAAGGCAGATTTATTATGCAACCAGTGTTCTCTAAATAGAATGCACAGGGCTCTTGATTTTAACAACCTGCAGCAGGTACTCCACAGCTGCAGCCCCACCACAGCTCCAGAGCAGCCCCATCCAGAGGCACCTGGGAGCCCTCAGCAATCCAGCCAGCAGCACACGGGCAGGAGGACACGAATGGCCCTTCCCGCCCGGCACAGGGCTTGTGGCCATCTCCAGGCACCGCTCTGGCAGGGATCCCCGCAGCCCCGGCCCCTGCCCAGCTGCTCTGTGGGCAGCACAAAGGCTTCAGCAGAACCACCAAAGGCCAAGGGGCTTCTGGCCATTTCCCCTGCAGCACTGCATGCATGGGCACAATGCTAAGTAGAAGCACGCTTTTCCCCACCTTCCCTATGCCCTACGGACCCGGGGCAACAAAGAAAATCTCCTGAGAGTGTGTATATTTTAACATGGTCTATATTTACACAGGGTAAAAAACAGAATGGAGGAAAAAAAATCTTAAAGGAAAGTAAAAATCCCCACTGGCTCAGGCTGCATCATCTAAAAGACACTCCCGGATCAGGTCTCCTCAGAGCTCCAGCAGTGCAGCCAGCTGAGCCTCGACAGACGAGGCCGAGTGATCCATGCCCTGTGCAACTGATCTTGCAGCCTCTGGAAGATGGAATATCGCCCACTCGCTGTTGCTTGGAGGACATGCAGTGTTTGAAATATTGCTCTGACATGGCACTGCTCATGTCCTCCGTCAGGTGTTCCAGGGCTGCAAGAGAGAGGAACAGAGCTAAGGTCAGATACCAGATCTGCGGGGAGCCCAGGAGAGGCCCCTGCCAGGGCCATCGCAGCCGGCTCTTGCCATGGCCAGGAGGGAGCAGGGAGCAAGGGGATCAGCCCGAAGCTGCTGGCCACCAATGGCCCACGTGGCCCTGAAATCTCCGTGTGCTCTGCCCACGGGAGCAGAGCCAGGGCAGGGCTTGCAGCTCCTCCCGGCAGCACCCACTGTCAGCCTGCTGCCATCACTCACTCACCAGTGCAGATCAGCTGGAGCTCTTGCTGCTGCCCCCTCAGGTGCCGCCCGGCCATGCCTGTGAACACAGAGCCTGTCACGGCCCCAGCGGCACAGCTCCCTGCCAGCGGCGCTGCCGGCGCTATGGCCACACGGGCTGCTGGCCCGGCAGGGCTCAGCCCGGCCCCTTGCCGCATGCTGCCGCCCCAGGGCACGGCTGCCAGAGGGCGGCAGCAGCAATGCCCGGGTCAGGCGGGGCTCCACGGCACCGGGCCCGGCTGGCGCTTCCGGGGCAGCAGGCGGGGCTGGGGCCGAGCTGCGGCGGGCCGGGGAGGGAGCCCGGGCTCGTGGCTCATCCATGAACCTGATGGCCGCCTCTGGCAGGGGCTCCTGTGGGCTTTGCAGGTAGCACAGGGCTCGGCGCAGGTGCTCGGCCGCTCTGCTCCTGTCCTCTGCCAGCTGCAGAGAGCGGCAGGAAGGAAGGGTTGGTGCGTGCTCAGCCCCTGGGCTGGGCGCTCCCTGCGCCCAGCCCCAGCCTCCCCTGCCCGCACAGGCCTGAGGCTCGGCCAGCAGCCGCTGACAAGGGCTCCCAAGGGCCAGCTGCTGCCCGGGGAGCCGCGGTGCCGGCCCGCAGCCCCGCCAGGCCGGGGCTCCATGGGCACCCGGCTCGGGCCCATGGGAGCCTGGAGAAGAGCCCGTGCAGCCTCTGGGTGCAGTAGTGGGCACGGGCACAGCTGCCTGGCCCGCACACTGAGCACTGCCGTCAGGGCCCTTCTCCAGGCTGAGGATTCTTGGCTGCTCTTACCAGGCTCTCGCCGAACCTCCATGTCTGATCCACCTGTAGCATTTGTTCAAGATTCCTTCTCTTCAGGAATCTGGCTGCAGAATGCAGTACTACACAGGAGGCCTGGAGAGCAGCAGAGAGGCACAGATGGCCCCACAGGCCAGGGCACAGGAGCATCCCAGTGCCACAGCCTGGAGGAGGCTGCAGCCCGCAAGGTGCCAGGGCAGGAGGCAGCCCAGCCCCTTCCCAGGGGGACAGCAGCTGGCCACAAGTCCTCACCTCAGCAACAATCTGATTTTCATCATGGCAGTGGAAGTAGAGTGGGACCAGGCTCTGGTGCACGTGGGACTTCAGGGCCTTTCTTCCATCTTTGTTTAATGAGTGCAGAATGAAATAAACAGGGCAGGAGACTTTTTCTCCTTTTAATGCCTTTATTAAAAGTGATCAGCTCAGGATTGGACAGCTCAGACAGGTCTGCAGCTTCCCATTGTCTCCCAGGGCACCGAGGAGGAGGAGGAGGATATTCACAGCTTTGTCCACTAGGGGCAGAGCTGGGGGTCCAGTCCTCCTGGGAGCCTTTAGGGCGTGGTGACCCCTTCCAATGTTGTTAACGTTCAAAAACACATAATCACGGGGGATTACATGAGGTGCTTTTTATTAAGAGCTCTGGGTGTTAGGGGTATATTCAACCCAAATCTGACTCTGACCATACATCCGAAATGATCATGTTTTTATACTCTATCGCTATACAACTTACATGTTAATTATTAAACTTATATTGTTCTATTGTATACATAAATTTAGCCCCTCTCTGAATTTCCAGCATAGTTTCTCATTATTCTTCTTATGGTTATATAATAATTACATTTAATTACTAAACAATCATCACATCTAACAATTATATAATTTATCATACTGCTTTATGCAGGTGCAGTTGATCTGGGAAAGCACAAAGCCTAACATTTTAGATTCTATCTTTAACTTTTTCCAGGGCTTCACTATCAGTGTTGCTGTTCACCGCCTCGCTCTGTCTGCTCCCGGCGTCGGGACGACTACCGTGCTCAAGGTGAGAGGAACTACGAAGGTGTTCTGCATCTCTGCAGGCTCAGCACTCCGTTCCTGACGTCCAGGCATCACTCCAATCTCTCAACTCTTAGGTAACTTGTTGTTTTGGGGTCTTTTTTAGCAAGCTAGAAGCAGTAGCTTCTCATGGCATGCTGGTCCTGGAGTTATTTTGCATAACCCTCCCCCCCAAAGTCTCTTCTCCTCACTGTTTGGGAGGTCCCCACCCTTCACTGTCTCAGAGAAGGGCCATTAACTCGGCCCCAGCTAGGGCTTTTACTGATACAAAAACAAGTATTAACGACAACGACCCATAATTACCATAACACAAGCAGCAGCCCACCAGCAACCATGGTAAGCTTTTTCTCACAAAAAAAATTGGCAGAATTTTTGTTCATAACACTTGAGGTGATGTTAGTCTTCCTTTCTCAAGCTGTTTTTCTCTGCTTCAATAAGGTGTGAGATAAGCATATTTCTTTTTTATATATTCCAAAGCTATAGTTTCAAGGATACAAGTAATATTCTAAAATTATCCTTCAAAAGGTTATTATTGCAGAGCTCTTTATGGATTAAATGCAAGCAAAAAGCAACATCTTTAACACCTTAATTCCAATGCTCTTAACCAGGGTTAATTGCAAACAAAAGATAGGTTCAAAGGCCTTTTTCCATGCTTTATTTTCCTCAGTTATTAATAGAATTCACAGCTCTCCCATTGTCAGGGTCCACACATTTCTCATTCACAAATACACATGTTGCCTGTTTGTACCTGACATGAAACACAGCATTGTATTTCACATTTCCACCTGTATTTAGCAAAAAAGGTCAAGAGACCAGAAGGCATATGCCATGCCTGTAAAGAAGTAGTTTAACTTGTCCTCATCGGGGGAATTCCCATCCCAGTGCAGCTTTTGTGATAGAAATATGTCTGTCCATGCCGCAGGACAGTTCATACTCCCTCTTTATTGGCATTGTACTCTTTTAAGCATAAAGCTGAATGAGTTTGACACTAATATCAGTTAATATTAAATGATATTTTCTTTGAGTGTTTGGCCCAGCTGCAGATCTTAAGTGGAGGAGATGACACGTTTTATTACAACTTTTTTATTTCTCTGTTTTGTTTATTGTAACCCAAGAACTTTGTTCAAGAATGAAGCAAACTTTTCTGGCTGTCCAGGAGGAAAAGGTTTCAAAGCTGACAAGTCCATCGACTGCATTGTCTCCACAAGAGTGTGGTAAAAACAGACCAAAAGCAAAAATTAAAGAAATAGCCATCCCATGGGAAATTTTTAAATACAATTTTCTTTCTATGCATCCATACATAATTCTTTAGCATGGAAATATTAAATAAGGATATGTATGGAAAGGAAGAGAATGCCCAGAGCAGCAGGCCCCAGCCAGCACTGGCTGGTAGGGAGCCTTGCTGAGAACACAGTTCCATCAGCTTTATGAGACAAACTCAACTTTGACACTTTTTAATCTTCTGTGGTCGCAATGCTGGGAGACTGAGCAAGATCTGAGGCTCTGCTCCATAAACCATAAGAGGAAATCCATCCTATTTGAACACATGGAAGAGTTCTCCCCTGATCACAGAAAGGGTCAGAAAGAACAGCTACATCAATCTGTCACTTGCTAGTATCAGGCTGCAAATAAGGCTCGAATGCTTGGCACTGCCCAACACAAAGAAATAAATATTCCAAAGCTGACAGAAGCACCAAGAGAATAAGTTTAAGAAACTTGCTCAATTTAAATGAATGCCAGGCCTGGTCTGTTCAGAAAGCTCGTCTGAAACACATGAAACTCTGCTTGCAAGGCAAAGGAACAAGATGCAGACTAAGTAAAGGGCGTTACATTTTTTCTGCCTTCAGTTTAAAAGTCATCTTTTATTTTTAGAGTGGAGTCAATCATGAGTAAAGAGAAAACAGTAATATACAGTCAAAACCAGGAGAAGAAATAAACCCAACAGGAGTCAGGATGAACTCTAAAAAAAGGAGCTAGGAGTTTTGGTGATGGTGGGATTTTTTCATGCATTGTTTGCTTGTGGGGTAGGGGTTTTTTGGTGTGTTTTTGTTAGTTTAGTTTAAATTTTTCTCCTGAAGTGACAGGCAGTAGATCTGTGAAACTACTTGTCAGATGGTATGGTGGATTCAGGAAGTTTAGTTAAAAGGGCAGCCTGAATGAGTACTTGAAAGACAGGGATATTTAAAGTTACTAACCAGATAATATCTATATCTGCTTTAATAATCCCCTGAATCGAAGTGTTTTTGTTATTTTAATCTAAATACATGTTACCTCAAATGAAAAAAAAAATTATAAGTGGTAATAAAATAATTATCGTGGTAAAAAGGCTTGGTAAGTGTGGTAAATTGCTACATGGTGTTAGTCTATTCACTCTGGAAAATGTAATATCCAGATGGAGATGACAGAGAAGGATGTAAATGACCTTGTTGCATTCTCAGCTGTGCAGTCACAGGGACTGAATGCTCTTGCCCAGCAGGAACAGCCCCAGCAGCTCCATACCTGCAGTTACAGTAGAGGACACAGCCATCTCTGTGCAGCTGTTTGGCCAGCTCGAGCTGATGGTTCATCAACTTGTCATTTATTACTACTATTAGTGGTTTTCCATTCTCTAGAGTCTCCAGGCAGCTACCAGCACCTACAAGAGGAACAGAAAACATGGTGAGAGATCAAATATCCCCCTACTCGCTGTTGAAAGAGGGGAGCCTCTTGAACAACCCAGCTGTGGAGCTCAGCACTCCCAGCCAGCTCACCCCGGGCTAGAGAGACCTCATCCCACAGAGCTCCCGCAGCCCCAGAAGCAGCCGGGCTGTACCTGTGTGGCTGATGACCAGGTCTGCGCTCTGCAGCTCCTCAGCCAGCGAGTCCTTGAACCGGAACGCTTCCACCGCCGCGGCCGGGCTGCTGCTGGGCTGCGGCAGCGAGCCCCGGCCCGCCTGCAACACCAGCTTCTGGTACCCGCGGCTCTGCAGCGCCTGCGGGCACGGCACCGGGGGATGGAGGCGATAAGGGGGGCGGAGAAGATGGTGGGGAGGGGGGACGGAGAGAGAGATGGAGAAGAAGGGGGGGATGACGGAGGTGGAACGAAGGGGATGAGGCGGGGATAGAGAGGCTGTGTGAGGGCTGTGCCCAGCTCGCGACGGCCCCGGCCCCAGTATCACCCCCCCCCTCCCCGTCCCACAGGCCGTCCCTCCCCTTCCCCATGCAACACTTCATGCTTCTCCGCCGGGTACCCCCGAACCGCCACGGCGCCCTCAGGCGCCCCGGCACTGCTGCCGGGATGCGGCAGGGAGGGCGGGGCAGCCCGCGGTGCACAGGCGCCAGCCCCGGGAGGGCAGGCCAGGGCCGGTGTCGGTGTCTCGGCCGACTGACCTGCAGCGCGGGCGGGGAGCGGGCTGCGGCGTTTAGCTCATCGAAGCTGGTGGTGCTCACGGTGACGAACACGGACTTCATGGCCGCCGGGACGGGACGGCTGTGAGGCCGCCAGGGGGCGCCGCGCGCCCGCGCAGAGCTCCCGAAATGGCGGCCGGGCTGAGGGGAGGGACGAGGCAGGCGGGAAAGCCTCCTTCCCTCCCTGTCCCTCCTTGTTCCTGCCTGTCCCTTCTTGTCCTTCCTTGTCCCTCGTTGTCCCTCCCTGCCTCTCCCTGTCCCCTACCGTGGCTTCTCTTCATGGGTTTTTCCCGTCCGCCCGTTTCGGCGGGGCTGGTGCCACTGCGCCGTGAGGTTCTCCCTCACAGTACCGCACCAGCAGCGATGGTGGCCGCTCTAATGAGCCCACTGTCCAGCAGCGTTTAGAGGGGTAGCCAAGGCTGTTCCAGGGTTTTAGATTTTCAAGGAGAAGAGGTAAAAAATAAATTTGGAAAAGGGATTCGGAAAGTTTTGGCCTGCACGTGTTATTTCAGCCTTGGGGACACACATAACTCGCGGACGCCCTGTGTGGGTGTGTTCAGAAGTGCCATTGCCAGAGCAGGGCCACAGCCACCCTCCCTTTACAGACTGACACTGGCCCAAGCCTCCCACAACATTTACTGGGGGAGTAACACTTTAACTTCTACCCCAAAATCATGAATATTAAATGTGCTAGCACAGTTATGAATATTAGATGTGTTAAATGTGTTCACTGAAGAGTAAGAATAACCCCTGAACAGTTGCACAAACAGAGCTGGCAGTTTTGTTCCTTATTAGTAAGTGTAACACAATGCATAATTTGCTACAAAGATAAACCAAACTTAGACATCTAAATCTATTTATTCCCTGAATAAAGTCAACAGATGAGGTCACAACTGTAGACACAGTTGTGTATACATGTTGTTGGAAGAAGGATGCAGCTTCTTGTGGAAACCTCTGACTACCATGTTAATGCCTCGTTCACAATGCTCATTAGCCTCCTGTTGTTTTCATTTAGCATCATGAGCCACGCTGAAATGTATTTATTTTTTGATTAAAGCAAATAGTGCTGACAGCAGACACTCTCTGGGGGAAAAATGCTGTAGAGCAAAACATTGCTGGTGTCCTGAGTGCACAGGGACTTAGTGGCTCTGCCCAGCCTCATCCAGCTCTTGCTGTTGTCCCTCAGGAAAAGGAATCTGGGAGCTGAGGGTGGCCACAACACCAGCCAGGTAAAGAGCTCACCAACAGGACATGGTCCAGTGACCATCCGGCAAAGACATGGACACAACGTCAGCCCAGGAAACCCAAACAGCAGTTCAGGAACAGAATTAGCAGCAAAGACACCCACAAGTCACCTCTGTCATCCCAGCAGGAGAAGGACATGGTCAGGTAGGTTCAGAGGAGGGCCACAAAGAGGCTCAGGGGCTGGAACATCTCTGCTGGGCAGACAGGCTGGGAGAGATCAGTGTTCAGCCTGGAGAAGAGGAGGCTCCAGGGACACCTTAGAATTCCTTCCAGTGCTTAAAGGAGCTCCAAGAGAGAGCTGGAGAGGGACTTTGGACAAGAGACTGCAGTGACAGGACACAGGGAAATGGCTTTAAACTGAAAAAGGGCAGATTTAGACTGGATATTGAGAATTAATTCTTTCCTGTGAGAGTGGTGAGGCCCTGGCAAAGGGTGCCCAGAGAAGCTGTGGCTGCCTCTGGATCCCTGGAAGCATCCAAGGCCAGGCTGGATGGGGCTTGGAGCAGGAAGGTGTCCCTGACCTTGGCAGAGAGTTAAAACTGGATGAACTTAAGGTCCCTGCAAAACCAAACCATTCTATGGTTCTATTTAAACCCCAAGGCTAAATAAAGTCCCTGTCCAAGAGTGTGAGTGAAAGCCCCAGCTGAGACTGGTCACACAATTAGTGCAGTCAGAGCCCTGACAGCTGTGGGAGAAGAAGGTGGATTTGGGATGAAAAGGAAAATACTAAATTTTTCAGGTGTTGGAGATGAGGTTCAGCACCTGGTAAAGGACAGGATATTTAAATGTTAGGAGTTTTGGGGTTTTTTTCCCTGTGTGTCACTGGAAGTCAGTGTCCTCTGCAGTGGGCACTTCCAGCTTCATGCTGTATAGGGGCTAGAGGAAAAAATATCCACATGTAAAATTGCAGTGACTTAAATTTGAATTTTCACTGGAGGATACATTCCACTTGCACATTGAATCAGGCTTGTTAGGGTGATTTTAAATGGAAGAGAAAAGGGAAAACCATCCATTAAAGGATTCAATTTCATGCTAATTTGTACCTGCTGTTTTTATTAGAAGTTGTGTAGGGCATAAGTAGAATTTTGCCCATGAGTGCTTAGGCTGAGGTCTGTGAGAACTACACATCACTCTCAAAATGAGGTGCTTGGAGCTGAGCCTGTGCAGTTTTGAGGCAGGTAAGAGGTCAGGTAATCCAGGTGTGGTGCTGTGCCTTGTTTCATTGCTGCCTCTGCCCCATGTTCCTGCACATAAACCACACTGTGCTCACAGACCTGACCTGCCAGTGATTGCTCAGGGGATTTTTACATTCAGTTTGTAACACCAAAGACACCCTTGATGCCCCAAAATTCCCTTTGCAAGACAAAGCTCAACTCCTTCCAGTCACCCAGCCCCCTGCCCAGCTAGGGGCAAGACCAGGCCCTCAGCAGGCACTTGGTGGGGGCAGTGGGTGCCTCAGCCTGGCCGCGGTCAGACACTGAGGAGGAGGAGGAGAGACCCTTTGTCATCATGGAAGAAGAGAAGAAACGTGACAGAGATGACAAGTGGGGAGATGTTGGGGCCCGAGGGCTTGGCCTGAGGGAAGAGGGGACAAGCTGTGAATTCTTCCAGTCGGTGCCCGCAATGGCAGACAAGGAAGCGTCCCCACGCAGAGCAATGAGTGCCCACGAGTTGCAGCAGTGCAAGGCAGCTGTGAGGGTGCTGTGGGGAGAGGGGGCACAGCAACAGCCCTACCAGTGGCAACAAAGGGCAACAGCCCAGGAGCTGCCCCCAATGGAAAAGGAGGTGACTGAGGCAAAGCTGAGCCAGCAAGGGCAAGGAAGTGCGAACAGCCAGGAGAAGCAGGCACGTTCTCCTGCCCCCAGGGAGGAGGTGCCATCAGCAGGGACACAGAGCCCAGTCCCTGCTCCAGACAGCCCCTGCTGCCCCGCCAGCCCCTCACCCAGCCCACTGGGAGCCCAAACCCCCAGGGAGCAGCGAGAAGAGGCAGAGCAGGGCACAGTGCTGACAGAGAAGGAGAGTGAGGAGGGCACCTCAGCTGGCAGTGATGAAGACTGGGAATCCTACAGCCAGACTGAGCTTTGCCAAGAGTGCCAAGGTGAGGCACAGCCAGAGCTGTCCCAAGGAGAGTTCAGCAGCTCCCAAGACCTCTCCAGCTGCAGCAAAACAAAACTCAGAGAACTCCGAGATGATTCCACGGAGAAAGACAGCAGCAGCACAGACCTGCCACAGAACTGCTGTGCAGGTAACAGCATCTTCAGCTTCGGGCCCACTCCCTTGCTGTGGGAGGAGGAGGAGGACGACGGCTGGCATGAAATCAGTGTCCTGGAGCTGTCTGAAGGAGAAGGCAGGGCCCAAAGGCTGGCAGATCTTGTGGCAGATGGGCTGCCACTGCCCGTCCCTCAGGAGGGCTGGGTTGAGGGGCAGGCATCAGAGTCCCTGTGTCCCTCGCTTCCCTCCCTGTGCAGCGAAGGCTCTGTGGGCCAGCAGGGGCCTGAGGCGGGGCCCCAGAGCCCGGGGCCTGCCCCACAGAGCCCTGGCGGCGCCTCAGCTGGCCAGCTGGGAGCGCAGGCCTGCAGGCAGCAGCGCTGCCCCGAGCAAACGGCCCGGCCGCCTCAGGCGGGTGCTGCGGGCACTGCGGGCGCTGCTCTGCTGGCCCTGCCTGGCGCGGCAGCTGCAGGAGCAGCGCCCGTGGCCCTGCCTAGCCCGGGCCAGCCGATGATGGCTGCTCCCTGCGCGGGGCCCCAGGGAGCCACACGGGCAGCCTCGGCCTAGACATGACCCCGTGGCCTCAGCTGCCCCAGCCAGCCTGGAGCATCTCCCCAGCACCCACAGTCACTGCTGGGGCCAGTCCTAAACAGCACACGTGGGACACAGTTGGTGCCAGAACGCTCAGCAGGGAATCCCAGAGTCATCGAGGTGGGAAGAGACCCTCACGCTCATCCGGTGCCACTGGCACCCTGGCAGCACCATCATCACTGCAAAACCACGTCCTCAAGGGCCACATCCGCACAACTCTTCAACGCCTCAGAGACAGCGACTCCACTGCCTCCCTGGGCAACTGCTTCCAATGCCTCACCCTTCTGTCAGAGAAAAATTTCTTTTTATATTGAATCCGAACCTCCTCTGGTGCCATCAAAGGCCATTTCCTCTCATCTTGAAAGGATTCCGTGCTGGTCCTTTGGGATTATATCCCTGAAGAATGGGCACAGGTGGGAGCTGTTGCTCCATGGATGTGACTGCAGGACTTGGACTCATACCATTCCTCCAAAACAAATTAAAGTCGAGTTTAAGAAATAGTAGTAGTAAAAAAACCCAAACAAACAAACAAAAAAACTAACAGAAAAAAAAAAATTAATTATTTTAAAAAATTTAAAGGAAAAAGAATAGGAATAAGAAGATGAAGCAGAAGAAATAGTAGTATTAAATTAGAAAGAATAATAGGAATGAGAATAGGAATAATAAGATGAAAAGAAGAAATTGTAGTAGCAAATTTAGTAAGAATAATAGGAATGAGAATAGGAATAAGAAGATGAAGAGGAAGATGAAAAACTAATCATTAATAGAAGAATATTAAAAAAATAAGAATGACATAGAAAGTAAGCATACCAAGTGAATCAGATTAATTTGAAGGAGAAGAAGAAGAATATTTAAATAAGAAGAAAGAATAGTAGTAGCAATTATGAAGAAGTAGGGGAAAAAGAAGAAGAGAAAGAAGAAGAGAAAGAAGAAATAATAATAAGACAAAGAATATTAAATCAAAATGCACATCTACACATCTTCTAGAATCCCAGAATGCAGGAAAGGACCTTAGAAAGTATCTACTTTGTGGAGGATTTTATTAAGAGTTGGTTAATTGAGAAAGGCCATACTGAC